GATCACACTGTTGCTAAAATAAATACCCGGGTAGTCATCAGTTTGTGCTAGACTTGTGTGAGATGCTAGGATCAAATGTGTCAAATGCTACAGAGCTGTCATCCAAAACAATTTGGAAACTAAAGCCCGTCATTCTGGATGGAGAATTTACCTGCCCATTCCCTTTTCTGTAGCCTCCGCCTTAAACAGAACAATGCCCTGTTCTTTTTAAAGCCTTTCCCTAACCTAGGTGATCTACGAGGTCATGAACTGTGTCAGTTTACCTATACCTACAACAAACCAGCGCTCTAATTCCTATGGATCTAAGTGTCATCCATTTGTAGATAATCTGGAGGATTACATTTCTCTGCAAGTCTCTACTTTAATCATTCCTGTTGTCTTGGTGATATTCTACACCGTACGTTCGATCACCTTTCACTGCTAAGGAGGGATAAGACGGATGTTTTATGTCTTAGCACGACTGCCCAGCTCCCCACCTGAGGTCTTTCTATTTTGAGGTGTACTCTTCCTAACACCCACAGACTGAACCCTGGCGAGTGCTGGGTATCAAATCCAAGGTCAAGCTTGCAGGCTCCACTTACAAAAAATGTTTCTAAACAATGTGGGTTTTTACTGCCCGACTCTGAAACCTGCTGCTGCTTATAAAGTAAATGAGGACAAATAAATAAAGGGAAGGTGAGAGGGAGGGAAAACACCATTCCACTGTTATAATTACACTGCACAGTGCTACTGGCGATTCCTCTTAAATCAGAAAATACAACCAAGGCTTGCATTCCCTACTAAACTTTGCACATTAAGATTCCTTCTCAACTCCGCTTCTACAGTGGGCTTTGTGTAGCTTTCCAGCTTACATCTAGTAAAGAATCACAGCTCTCCCTCTTGATGTTTACTGCTACTGCTCCTTCTGTATCCCTTCCTAAGCCCGGTTGAGTCTCCTTCCAGCTAGAAATGCGGCTCAAAATTTGGCCATTTGAAGGCATTTCACTCCGCCTTCATCATATCACTTGATTCTGTGGCTGTTCCACACTTGCCCTTTGCATTCCCCATTTCCACATGTTCTTTTTGTCCCTTTCCCATTTCTTAGTTTCTTCTGTTAGGTCCTGAAATTCTTCTTTTCTGTTAGAGCTATTTCTTCGAGAAACTTTTTTGACTTCCCACCTTGCTAAGCAACATTTCAGACTAGTCCCCTTAAATCTTTTAGCAGGTTAAACATATTTCTTTCCAATGAGCAGGCTGAAGATTTGGGATTTAATATGAACTCCTTTGAAAAAAATGCCAGAGATGCCCAGATACAATACAATGAAAATTCAGACGCCCGTTCAGTGCCCAAACACCAACACTGCTTCCCTCCGAGATTAAGTGGTGGCAAAAGTCTCCACAGAAGTGTCTAGTACTGTAAAACAGAACTGAAAGGAAGTTGAAGATCAAGGACCCTGGACCACTATTTGTATAGCAAGCATGAGCCAGAGAATTCCCTCCTGGTGCTAACAGATACAAAGGAAGAAAAATAAAATTATGGAAAGGAAAAGAATTAAAACCAACCATCTGCAGAGAACACTTTTCTGGGTTTCTCAGCAAGGGCAAATGGCAATAGAACCAGGCCACTGACTCTTAACCCAATATGCCAAAAAAGTATTAAACTACAGCACCATGTGCTCAAAGATCCTGGGACCCAAAGCTGAGGGAGCTACTGGTGCTGGCAAATACTATGGACAACCTCCAGACAGAACGGCAAGCTCTGGGGAAAGGATCAGACTCCAGGTCAATTGAAAAAAACAAACAACCCAACAAGTCTTGTGTTGACATAATTTCTAAAAAAAAAAAAAAAAGTGGGGCAAACGAGCTTAACTTCACAAAGCAAAAGCTTTGGCCAACAAGAATAAACAAAGCAGACAACCTTTTTATTGCAAAACCAGAAGCAATTGGTGACCCAGCTTCAGGCCATGTCCTGCCAGATTGACTGGAGACTCTCTCCTGTACCGTATGGTACAAAACTCCATCAGGAAGTCGGTCAGACCCTGAGTGCTCCCAACGGGAATACATACAAAAACTAAATGAGGAAAAACAAATAACTGAAGGGTGAGAGAGAAAATCAAAGGTCCATTGTTATAATTACACAGCACGATGACAGAGGTAATTTCTCTTAAATCAGAAAATAAATTTTAGGTTCAAGTTCCCTGAAGGATATAAAATATTAGAGGATTTTTTATGGTTGCAATCACAAACTCATTTCTCCAGCCACTACTGGCCGTGTCTAATTAGGGTGAAGTATGTTAATGATACAGCAGCACAGCCCAGAGACGTCTTCAGTTGCGATATTAATTGCATTTAGGGAAAGAAGCATGAATTGTGCTTATACAAGCTAATTAGTATGGGTTTGCTAATTAATACTGGGAAGTCAAACTGCCTTTGTCTTGTCAACTGCAATTAGCTGAAGATATTTAAATTTCTTTCTTTTCTAGTAGTAAACTGACTTTTAGCAGGGAAATAATTGAATCATGGGCTGGAATACACTATTCCAGTTAGCAGAGGGGATCTATTATGCCTTTGATGCAGCAAGTTACAGACCAAAGCTACTGCACTGCCACCCAGCTGCACGTGCCAACACTTCTGGGGTTTTCTACGCAGACATGACTCCCTGAAACAGGGTGCTGCTCTCTGTAGTCCAAGCCACCATTCCAACAGACTGATGCTACATGGGCTGCATCAAAATGATCAGGATGTAACAAATGAGTTATTTACCATGGCACCTCTGGTGCTCCCAATAGCATAACTGCAGAAACCCCATCAAATGTGCTGCTAAGATAAAGCCAGCGAGAGCCTGGACTGCTGAGCACATCACTTCCTCTCCACCACTTTGGGGAGGGTGAGAGAACCATTAGCGCTCTTTGCAGTGGCTGTAGATACATCTCCTGAGCAGAGGCTTATCCCGAGGAGCAGCCTGAAGACCCACTGACCTGCGTGATAGCACTTGACAGGTGTTTCTTCCATTTCACTTACAGCTAGACGCTTGTCCACAGGCTTGCCGCTGAAAAGCAATATCCGTGTCTGTCAGAACACAGGGCAAGAAGTGGCCTTTCTGCACCTCCCCAGCCATGGAAGCTTAGCCTCAAATAATGAGGAGCGGATCACAGGCGGGCGAGTGGAGGGGGACAAGGACAAAGGTGAGATGCAAGGAACCCAAATCAGGAAAACAACTGTTGAAGTATCAACCTAAAAATGAGTCTGAAAATAAGGCCATGCAGGTGACACACTAAGCTGGAGAAACAAGCCAGGAAAAGTCTTGTGTTGACTAGTAAGGAGAGGGCTGGGGCTGGGGCTCCAGGCAATCTGCCAAGGGAGATATTACTCTGTCACCTGCTAAGCAGTTGAGAGAAGAGGAGTGATGCATTCTCCTCCAGGAGGAATGTTTTATTTGTGGAAAGAGGGAAAACCTTTGCAAAGCCAATAGCCACCACTAATGAGAAAGCATTACATTGAGTCAGCCCCTCCCAAGGAGGATATGAGGATGAGGGAGGGAGAGAAAACTATCCATGTCACCATTGAAGCAATTTCCTTAAGTTTGTTGAACAACCAGACTAGATAAAGTTTAGCACTCTGCTGCCTCCTTTCTAAACTACTACCAACCTAGAGTCCAGCAGTCCAGATGGGGCCTGCAAAGAAGAAAGCAAGGCATGGGGAATTCCCTAGCCATAGTGAACTGAAACCTCATTCATGTAACCCAAGGGAAAGCTTCTGACAAGCTGGTAAAGCAGAGGCCAGAATCTTGAAGATGAAACAGCTTTTTGCTCAGGTATATCCAAATCTCAGCACTCAGAATTAAAAACCATGACAAGAAAGCATGTAATAAGATGGCACATGAGAGTAATACCATTTTCTCTGGAGATCTCAGTTCAGATCTGGCCTATATCACTATAGAAAGTGCCTAAGCTTTCAAACACATCTGTCCACATCACAGAAGAACCAGACAGTTTAACAACACTGACAGTCTCCTATTATAAAACAGCTCAATGTTGGAACAGCAAAGAGCAACACAGCCAAACTGAGTAACGTTGACAGATGTGAGGCAACCCATTACCAGAATAGCGGGAGCACTGAAGGGGGGATTTATGTACATTAGCAGAGTGGTGAGAAAATCCAGGATACTACCAAGACATAATGTACGTTATGACTTGGGTTTTAGACCAGAGGCTTGTTCAGCACCTGCTCCAAATTGGCAGTGCCAGCTGCCATTCATTTTTCATGACTGCTAAAATTCACCCAGTTTAATATCATGCAGTATCAGACACTGACTTGTTTCTGTTCTGCGCTATTCAGGTTTGCTTATGGGAAAAAAAAAATCTGCAGATGAAGCCCTTGCGACTTACTCATTTGCATACCACAAGGAGGTGAATGGTTAAATGCTAATGTTTAATTCATTGCTGCATATGAAGGAGCTTATACAGTAAAGTAACCGCACCATGTCACCCCTCCCACTCCCTTGTTTCGCGGCCTGTGTGTTTTTCTGGTTCCTCTAGGGATTAGAGTCGATAGAAGAGACAAACACAGCTGAAAAATTAACAGAAATAATAAAAATTGCTTTGCAGACTATTGTCTCATCTCACCTATGGTCCCTTGTCGCATCTCAGACTCAATAAACAGCTGCCTGAGGAAGGGATCTAATTCATTATGAAATAAAAATTTTGCTTCCTTTCTAGAACTGTTAACAAACAGAAAGCAAACTGCCAGGAAGAGTCAAAAGTACCATTAACCCTCAGCAGAGTGCAGTCCGTGTCAAGTAGGTGTGGAAACTGCTAAGGTACCAGACCTGCAACAGTTTTTAATGAGGCACAGACACCTGCTGGCTTCCTTGCTCTCTCTCGCTCCCCTCCTTACAATACTCATATGCCGTTCACATCTGGAATTTGGGAATGATGAATATTATTTAAAGGTATTAAAGCTGCATGTGCCACTCTTCTACCGCAGTACAAAACAAGGAATAAAAGGAAGAACATGCTTACCATATCTGCTCTTTGCTTCTGGTTCCCCACTTCTTCCACAACTTGAGACAGCTGAGCCTTCAAGACAAAAAGAGAAAATAAGTCAGAAAGCCGATTTAAGCCACTGTGATTTCTGTTCAGTGATACTCCTAGTTATTAGTTTGCCACCTTTTGGTCTCTAGCACTTCAGTCCTGGAAAATGTGGACTCAGTTAAGTAACACCTAAACACCTAAAACACTGCAGAGCCAGGATGATTGCTTCTGCCCAGATGATATATTAAGTTTAAAGCTTTCATTCTCTGTTGCCTTTTGTATTTGATTTAAAAGAGACTTATGCATCTTTCTTCCTCTCCTTGCCTCCCCCAAGTGCTGGCAAAGGATGCTGGATTCATAGGCTTGAAGACAAAAAGTTGCTAGTTATAGCTAAAATGTGTACAGTACTGATCTCAATTGAACTTGGGCTACTCCACCATTCTTGGTGATGTGTTTGCACCCCAAAAGGATTACTGCTTGGGATACGGATGGGCCAGTTTCCAGGACCATTTTGGCCTTGACCTCTCTAATAACTCTTCCAAAAAACCTATAATTGTCAAGTGAACACTACTGTAATGAATAAAGGCTAAACCCAAATGACAGTTCCACTATAAATGTGAGTTCCTGCCCCAAAGAACTGCCATCCAAATACACAGGAGGGGAGAAGCAACTTATTGAAGGTTATTACATAAGCTAAAGGCAGTGCTGAGAACAGAAGCTCTCTCTTCCAAGTCCCAAGGCAGTTTCCCAACCACTAAATAAATGCTACCTCCTCTCGTGGTAGCAGGTACTGAAGATCCTTACAAATATTTTGGAGCCTCTACAAGAGGGGTCCCAAAGCTTCTCACTTCCTGCAGCCTAACTGGAGACTAAACAGACTCTGTCCAAAAACTCCTAAAGGAGGGTGGGGAGATGGATGGGGCAAAAACCTTCCTGGAGTAACAGTGGAAGGAGAAAGAAAATGGCTTCACTTTTCTTAAGGAGAAAGTATCATGTTGTAATATGTGGATGTCTGGTGCACGCTCCCTGCAAACAACCTCTAACAAAACCCTAGCCAGAACCGGGATGAAGGCAATGGGCTCCCTTAGGTGAAAGCCAGAAGAACCTTCTCTCAGAGTGACAGCCTCTGAATAAGAGAGAGAGGTGAATCCCATCCCAGAGAAGGAGCCTTTAAAGCGCCTTGTGATCCTTGGTGGGTTACGGGCTCTGATTCACAAAAGTGGCATACAATGCTCTGATGCCACTTTTTGCCTCTTCTCTTTCATGCTAGTCTCCAATCAGCCATTCTGTGATCAGCTCCAAGAATAATCCCAGGGGATGACAGAAAAAACATAATGAAACAGCCAAAGCACACACAACGAGACCTAAAAACCTTTCCTTTCAGGAAGATATTTATTACGACCCTTCAGAGTCCCTCTAACAACATCGCTACCATATGAAACCGGCCTTTTTGAGAGCTGTATCCCAAGCAGAAGCAAACAGCCAAGCCGCTTGCTACAATGAAATGAAAAACATTAAGTTTCCAAAGCTAATTGCACTGAAATACAAGCAAACAAAAAAATTACAGTCTCAGAGTTCAGCATAAAACGAGTAGTTCAATTCCCCAAACAAACAAACATGACAATTAGGTGCAGTCCACCACCGGCTCAGCCTTTGAGCTCAGTGGAAGCTTCAAGAAAGTTATGGGCTCTGGCTGTGCAGGGCCTGTTAATGATGTCACATTATTAAAGAAAAAGGCACTCAAACAAGATGAATGTAGTTTTAACATAAACCTGGGACCTGGTGTGGGGAAATGAAACACACTCATTAAACACTGCGGGAGATGCCAGTCCTGTGCAGACACAGAGTGTGCACACAAGCGAGTGAGAGGCAAGAATGAAATTACCACAAGGTCTGATGCGGGCACATCAGGAGACTGTAAATTCAGAGGCACCTGGGAGTGATTTTTTTCCACAAATATTTAATCAGGTGGAATTATACCCCAGCAGGACAGAGCAGGAAAAGAGCCACATGGAGAAGAATTAGACAGAGTTCTTGGAAACTGCATTTACAAAGTCATTTTTTCCGAGGCTGGAATAGCCTTTGCAAAACACCCTAGGATGGAACGAACACACTGGACAGAAAACAAATCAATTTTCCAACATCTTTATTGGACCCATCTCTGCATGAAGAAGGTTTTAACTTTTGGATAAGGACTACTGGACCATTCTGAGCCAGAAGCAAGCAGCAATTACGGGTTACATATTAGTCTGCTCCACAGTTATACCCAATCGTAAGAGTATGAGAATCTCTTTAACCAAGGAGAACTCAAACCCAGCACTAAGGCTAAGTACCGACAGTCAAAAGGCCCAAGGCTGAATCGACTCAATCTTCGCAGGTTAGTCTAAGCTGTGTAGACTGGACCAATAAGCAAGTGAACAGACATTCATTTTTGATTCCAGAAATGCAGCCACATGCCTGCAGTGGCCCAGGCCAGAAGCCGGGGGGTGCTAGAGCACTCCTCCCTGCTGGGCTGGAGCAGACAGCTTGGGTCAAAGCTAGCCCATTCGCCCTACGGGGCTGGGGGGGGCGGTGTTTGCAGGGAGGATGCAAAGCATCCTGGGATACTGGGGGACTGAGTTAACTTGAATCTGGGGAGGATCTGGGACAGAAAGTCAATAACTGATTTAGGATAAGGCGGCTTAAGTCCCATACTACATCCATCCAGGTTTACCTTAAACTAGTTTCCATCGTTTTGAAAGTAATTTATGTGCACTGAACTTCTGTTGTATTACAGATTTGAACCCGTTTCCAATCACTTATATCGATTTGTGTGTAATTTCTGTCCCTAGCCTAAAAGAGACCAGAAGCAATCTGAGAACAGAGTGAAACACAGAGGAGTGCGGGCAACTCACCAACACTAATGTGAAAGAAACAGGGCTTTGATCCTGAAAGTACTCAGCCCAACAAATTCTAAATCCATATCTTTACCCCGTACCTGTAGGTGTGCATTAAGAAAGTCAATTATGTTTATCACAAATCTCGTCATTCACTTCAATGGTTTATTTCATAGAATATTTTTCACCAAGATAATGAATTTGTCTATAACTTAATGTAGCATTTGGAGGTTGAGGAGCAGGCGTGACAGCTGCTTAGCATGTTGGTTTGGCCTTTGTACCTCTCCCCTGCCACAATGGGTAAGGATTTCTTTTCCTATTCCCTTCCACAGTTTTAAACTTGACCCACAACACACTAACACTGTATCGAGGTGATTATTTGTTCCAACTGCCAAAAATTAACATTTATACAGCTTTGAAAACTGAAAGGAAAAGGCCAGGGGAGAAAGGGGCTGGAATAGAAGAACAAACTTCCCTGCTCTACTGACAAGAAATCATGATATGAGAAGTTCTCCTAGTTGCTTCTTACACCTTCTCATTTCTCTCTCTCTCAAGCATGTCAAAATAAGCGCTTTTGGGGGAAAAAAGTAGAGTTCAACCCTGGAGGATCTGAGTTTCCCAAAGCATCCATCTCTAAATTATAATATGATTTTTTTAGCATAAGTTTCTGTAATGAGCATAAAGCACGGGTGAAAAGTTCTGTACTGAGAAGGCAAAAGAGTCTGTTCAGAGAACAGATGTGGAAGGGATAACATTCAGTTAAGCTTTTTCTCTTTGCCCCACCTGCATGGATGCTTTAATCCTGACCCAGTAAAACTATGATATTAAGCAACAAACAATTAGATTAGATTAGACACCTCACGTTCCAGTTCCTCAGATCTTGGAAATATTAAGCAAGAGAATGTATGCAACTCCATCGCTGCCTCTCATAGCTCAAACATGTCAAATGAAATGCATTTACTTGAAGGCTCAATCTTCTGTTTTAGCAATATATACTATATATACCATCAAGATAATATATCCATTTGAGGAAGTGACTAACTGGATGCTACTAGAACATTTATTAAGATCTGACGTTAAACAACAGATCTTTGTGTTTAGGAAACGAAGAGAACAAAATAAGTTTGTGATTCACATAGATGCTAAATTGGAGGAGGGCTGGAAAGACCTTTAGAGAAGAGAAATACAACATAAATGGATTAAGAGAAATTAGACATATGGACAAAAATTAGATTTAACACAAAAAATAAGCAAATATAGTTTGAGAAAAATGATTCAATATACGTATATACATAGGAGGAACAAATCTATCAAGCTGCTAAACCTACAGGCAACAGTGGACAGCAAGTCGGAGATGAATTTGCAACATGTTATGGCAGGCCACTGTTACATGGGGTTGTGAACACAGGGTTACTAATCACAAAGCAGATTGCTTTATTGGATTTATTTCTGAGCATCTAATTGCCAAAGACTAAGACAGATCAACTAGATGATTGGGTTGCTGAAGGAAACTATTACGAAGAAAGATTGTCAGGAACAGTTAAATATGTATCATCTGCCTAAAACTAATTAAAAAAAGCAAGAGGAACACAATTCATTCTTTGCTCTCTTTTAATGAAATCGGACTGGTGGAAATAAGGGAATGTCAGGACAATGTAACCAGCCAGCCTCCCATGGGACAAGAGCAAGTGATCTGCAGAGCACAGTTTTTGCAAACCCGTGTAAGATACAGAACCGACATACTGGCAAAACATTATTCCCAGTTCTCTCTCTGCCTTTTGTACCACTGGCTACTCAAGTACTGGATAAACCACATAATCCATGGTCCCCTGTGAATGACACTGCCAGGCTCTGAAGCAGTTGATCTGTATGCTTTATCACAATCAGTCTGCAAACATTAGCCCTACCCCAGCCCTTTGATTAGCCTAAATCAAATATTGAACCTAGCTCAGCTGTTAGAGGACAGCTGCTTACAAAGTGATTCACTGCCATATTCCTACTAGGCCACGAGAAAATACAAACTAATCATCGTCAGCATGACAGACACACACATTTTTAATTATGAAGAAGAAATTAGGCTCTGAACTTCCCCAACATCTCACTTAATCAGAGTGCTTCAGAAATGCTGCCAACCACCAAAATGACTTAAGGAAACAGCTGCAGAGAGAT